GGATGTGGTGCAGCGAACCACGGAGGACCCATCAAAAACGGAAGATACACAGAAAACGCTGCCTGCGTCAGACCCGACGGCCTCCCATGATCCCTCTAGCGTGGTACGTGACACTGCTTTATTGGCGGTATTTTTCCCATATTTTTCTCTTTCCATTCGTTTCGGTGTTTAATTTTTTCTGATTTTCCTCATATTTCTAATTCTATGGGAATTTGTTGTGTTTTCCATTTGCACTTTTTTAAAATTACTTGTCGTTTGTTCCTGGTAATAACCGGAGATAACCTGAAATTTTAAATCGTTGGCGATTTTCTGAAATTTTTTTTGCGCACGAATTAAAATTTTATTTTAATCTTTTTTGGTGCTTTATGGTGATCATTCTTATTTTTTTTTTAAGTATTTTATGGGGCAGTTGTTTCTTTCGCCTCGCTGTTTTTCTTGTCTCATGTTTACTTTACCTCTTTTGAGGAATTTGAGTGTTGTTTTTATATCGAAACTATTTTAATTTTTACCTGATTTGATGCATTTACAAGTGTATTCTGGATTTTTTCTTCTGTTTATTTGTAATTTGCACAGTTTTTGTTTCAGCAGCTTTTTTTTTATCGTTTCGGTTTCTTCTATTTTTTTCTTTAATTTTGATCGTTGAGGAAAAATGTGGATGGAAAGGTTGTGCCAATCTCTTGATTTTCTCGCAGAAACCGTTGACTGACCAAAAAGCAGAGACGCCGAGCATGACAACGGGTGGGAACGCCATTTCGGAGTTGGAGACGGTCAACGAGGAGAAGAAGGCAGAGGAGATGCAGCCGGCGCACAGTCCGCGGCCCAATCGGCGCCGTGAGCGCGACCGCTCCGACGACGAGGCCTCGCCCGAGCGGGCCCGCGAGCGCCGCCGCGACGACGACCGCCAGCGCAGCGTCCAGCCCGTCCTTCCCGCGGAACCGGACGTCGCGGCGGTAAGAAGATTGTTCAGCTTCTATCGTATGTTCATTTTGCTTCGTAACATTCTAGTCGACTAAATCACGTGACCTACATTCTGTGTTGTTTGAATTTTTTATTTATTTGAAATTTTTCTGTGGTGTTTGGGAAGTATTGATGCATTTATTGATTTTGCTTATTTTGGATTTGTGGTGCACTTCTGAACAGCCAACGCATTTTACCGATTATGGCTGCGGATTTTATTATCAATTTGGATTTTTTTATACGGGACTTTTTGATTGATTTTATTTAGTATTTTCTGATTAATATGAATTATTTATCGCCATTTTTGCAGTCGCATCCGGCGCCGGGAACTTCGCCGAGCGGAGGACAGTTTATCTTCGGCCAAAATCTCAACTCCCGCGTGACCGTATGTTGCTCTTCCATGTTTACAAAAAAACGTAACAGTACCCCGGCTTCTTCATTGTACGAATTCGCATGGCGTTGTGATTGTGCTAAACACACTAAATAGGCATATTTATGAACCTAATAATTTGGGCATTTTTCTACAATTTAATTATTAATTTTCGTCTTCATCCCAGTATTTTATAACGGGATTCACTACCGCATTTTTCCCAAAAATTAATTCCTTTATTCTGCTTAAGTACTCGTATTTTCCACATAATTTTTGTATTTTTTGTTTCCCAAGATTTATTACTTGCTGTGTAATTTTCCTCGTCTGCGCAGATGAATTTTGTCTGAAAATTAATTATGTTAATCTGAATAATGAATAAAAATAAATAAATAATGAATAATAATAATAATAATTAAATAATAATGATAAAAAATGATTTTTTCTCATCCGTATTACTACAATTTACCGCCGAAAGATTACTGTAATTGTCGAAAAATATTAAATTGCATTTATTGTACATGCAAGTAATGTGTAGGTGAAATGAAAAATTAATGAAAGATATTACTTGAATAAAAACAATATATCTGGCCGTTCCATATTTAACCGTAAATAATTACACGGGATCAAATAAACATGTGTAAAGTCATGATTGAAAACCGGAGAATTAATTTAATTAATTAATTAATTTCAAAATCTGCTTGCCATCCTTTTTCGATTTCTTGCGGTGCGGCTGAATTAATCCGCTTTTTTCTTAATTAGAACGCCGCCTCCGGACCGGCGCCCTTCTCGGGATTCGGGGGCTTCGCGGCGCTGGCGCAGACCTCCTTCGGGACGGGCTTCGGGGGCTTCAGTGCCGGGACAGCGGCGCCCGCCTCCGGCTTCCTCTTTGCTCAAGCCCTGCAGTCGCAACAGCCCAAGACCCCTTCCGCGGACGAGCCGGATACGAAAACAGAGGGCGCGGTCAATGGGAAAGCCAAGGCCGGTGAGGACCCCGTGGAGCCCCATTCCGGCTCGTCGCTGGCCGAGTCGGCGCGCATCGAGTACGCCGCCAAGAACCAGAAGCCCTTATTCGAGGAGGTGGACGTGGTGACCGGGGAGGAGGGCGAGTACAATGTCTTCGAGGTGGGTCTCCGTGATTATTGCTCATAATTCATTTAAAAAAAAGATTGTTTTTAGTATTTATTTGGTTTTAAGACAATAAACTGAGTTTTTTATCGGAAGTCTGACAGGATGATGTGGAGATCCGGTTAATAAAATACACATTCTTGTTTGCTGAACCATTAGTTAACTCTCAGAATTTAATTGTCGTTTTTCGTAATTCAACTTTAATAATGCGAAATTACCTTTATTTCAGGATTTTGGTATACTGAATTTAATTTCTGAATTGTAAGTTTATTAGTAGCACGCAGGTCGGGTTATTACGATTTATGTCCTTGTTTGTTAAACATTTATTATTCATTCTCAACATTTTATTTTTATATTCTTTTATTAATTCAGTTGTAATAAGTCAGATTTCGTTTTCGTTGCAATTTTGATTACGTAAAAGTGTAAAACGGAATTTCTTGATCTTAGATTTGTTAATAACAGCCAACACGAAGATTATCCAGTCTATGCATTCATTTCACTTAATTGAGCAGTATTTCAATAAAAAATTAAATACTGTCGGTGTTTTTATTCAAATTTAATACAGTAAAAATCGGTCGTTTGTCTGGAATTATGAAGTTATTATAAAGTTATCAGTTTATGAAGGTTTAATGGAATGAATATTATTGAAGTAACGTTTAGGGTATCAAATTATAAAAATTGTAGTTTATTTTTATCTTATTCGTTTGGTTTCTCACTGTCGACGACGAAGTGATTGTGTGTCGGGTGTGTTGCAGACCAGTGTGAAACTGTACGGATTCGACGCCGGCGCGCAGCAGTGGAAGGAGCGGGGCCGGGCGGCGGCCCGCCTCAACGATGCCGACGACGGGACGTATTCGCGGCTGGGTGAGTGTGGCAGTCTTCTATTCATGTCGCTGTCTTCTTGAGGATGTTGCCCGGCCTTTTTTAATGAATTTTTTCGGGGTTTTTCATTGAATTTCAGTTCAATAGGGAATTATTTCTTCCATGCTGTTGGCTATCGTACAACCGTTGCCTGCTGCATATGTATGGTACTTGTTGTGAATCGTAGTGTTGTGGCTGGTTATGTTTCGGTTGAGATGTGTATACAGCTGGTTGTCGATGTAGGAAAAGGTTGGAATTTACTTTCGGTTAGAAATACAGACAGATTATACAGTACTGATTTTTTATTAATTCCACCTATTATGCTCTGCGTACTTTTACTATTTATATGTAGAATATTATTCGAGATAATTTTTCGTGAGCGAATTTAAAATATTAATTTTATATGTGCCCATTGCTGGGATATCCGTGCGCACCGCAGTCATTCTTATTACGTCATTAATTATTAATAATTTTTTTTATTAAGAATTAATCCTCAGTATCATTCACAGCGCATTAAATACCATCTAAGTTATCTAACTGAATGTTAGTGTTGCAAAATGCAGACCAGCTGTTCAGCACAAAAAATTAACAAGGAAATTAATATTATAATTATTATTATCGCACCACATAGCCAAAACTCCTGTAAGGCGGATACCGTACCAGACTATTGAAATTGGCTTTTGGTTAAATTAGAAAATTTCCTACCTTTTTTTGGTTTGGTTTTATGAGATAGAAGTTAATGAGATGTACCTGCCGGAATTCGTGGCTGTGTGAATATTACCTGCCATATTACTATACATGAAGAAAATGATTAAAATTAATTTGATTCTAATAATTTAATTCTGGTGCTGGTTGTAGTGGTGCGGATGGCCGGCACGCTGCGCATCATCATCAACATGAAGCTGTGGAAGGACATGGTGGTGAAGCGCATGTCGGAGCGCAGTGTCTCCTTCTCCGCCCTCGACGCCGCCGACGGCCAACTGCCCAAGGTCTTTCTCATTGCGGTACGTCCGACGAATATCTCCGTAAAATAATCACTTATTCACTGCTTTCTCAATCGAGACAAAATTTTACTATTTAATATTTTTGATAGTGAAATTAATCAGAATTTAATTCAGAATAATAAATTAGTTGGAGATGGATGTTTAAATTGCCAGCTACTTTAAGTGCGTCCGATTTTTCCCCTAAAATGGAAAGAATTTTAATTGTATAATGTGTATCCATTAAATTACTGTAACTATTAAGCAATGATTAATTTTCACATAAGCTTAATTTTTGCTTTTTTTTCTCACAATTTTTCACGGTTTTTCGGACATGTTTACGATTTACGGTTAATGCGCGGCTTCCCAACAGGAAGATGCGGCTGGTAATCTGGTTTGAAAAAATATTAAATGTTCGAAGAACGCAGCAGCCGTGGAACGTTGTAATGGACTGTTCGTTAATTTTACGGATAAAAAATTGATTTGGTACCTAATTTATTTTAATAATATTTTACGAATTTATTAAATTTATCTTGATTATTATTAATATTTTCTCCGAATAAGTTATTAATTTTATGGTCAATAACTTTTGTATTTGCACGCGCAGATAAATAATTAAAAGAATTTAGGAATGGTTTCTGTTATTTATTACTTTATATTATTTATACCGTATTTTTTATGTACAGTGTTCGGCGGCGGATGCGGAGACGTTCCACAGTGAGCTGAGCAGTCGCGTGGAGCAGTTGCGCACCGAGGCGCCCCTGCTGATCGCCACCCGCGGCGCAGAACGCCTGTCCCTCACCGCCAAGGGCGAGTCGGGTCTGGACCGCAGCGACACCTCCCTGGAGGAGAAGCCCCACGACCTCCATCCCCCCAAGAAGCCCAAACGCGAGGACTGACGCGTGCCCGGCGTGGCGCTATACTTTTGGCTAGTTTTTAACGGGAAATGACCGGGATTTTTGACTTGTGTTAAGAAAACGGGAACGATCCGGGATGGTATTGTGTTATTACTGGTGTTCCGGGAAATTCCCATGTATTTTCGTTTTGGGGAGGATGTTTTGTGGGTGGGGGGGAATTGGAGATTTTTTTCGGTTTATCCTTTTCCGCGAGTATTTTTGTCGGACCGGCAATGGCAATAAAAAAAGGGAAAATATGATGTATTTTTTGGTTAAGTTTCTTTTTGTTTTTAAATAAATTTAAGTGGATGAATTTATCGAATTGTATGCCGATTTAGTTATGACACACAGGAGAAACCGAGGAAGATAACGATGTATCAGCAGCTCCTATTCCTTCTATTATAACGGAAACAGTAAAATTTTATTCGAAAAATACATGGAAAATAAATGATACATTTTTGAGATTTGTGTTACGATTATTTCCGGTTATTTCCTTTCTAACCGTTCAGGCGTACCACTTATAGCATGCCCGAGCATGGTATACTGTTGTGCAAAAAATTTGTACCCGGCCTTTGTGTATTAATGTACTTATATTTTGGACGCGACCACAGCACGATGAAGCAGTCACTATATGTCATTAAAGGCAGTTACATAGGCAAATCATTTTAACTCAACTATAAGAAAATATAAATTTAACCAATAAGAAAATATTAATTTAACCACTGCATAGTGCATATGCCTACGTAAACTCCGCAGTGCCAGTCGCTTATTTCAACACAACGATTTTGTTAGAATTAGAAAAACTGACATGATACCTAATGGCGGGTGCCGGCGAGTACCAAAATTACAGGAGTACCTTTTAAGCACAACTTTAAAAAAAAAACTTCGCTACAGTATACAGAAAAAAAGTAAAAGTTTCGCTACAATATACAGATGTACTGCATTATAATTAATTTATAATACTTGCAATATACATGATACATGTTACATACACAAAACTACAGCTAACAACGAAACCAGCTGGTTTCGGGTAATGCACCGACTTAGGGAACGTTGTGGGCACGTTCAGCCCCGATAAAATTACATAGATCGTCAAACGTAATCAAGCAGATACCGTGCTTTATCCATTCGTGTCCGCAGTCCGCGCCATCGTTGGTCGTTATGCTCAGATACGCCTTCGGACGTTTTGTATGCTGTGCATAAAAAAAAACGGCCGACAGCATATCTGAAACAAAACCGGATTCCGGACCACTTTCTGCCAGGCGCAATTGGTCTACACGGACGCCAAAAGCAGCTGGGGTATCACGCAATAAGCGTGAGTTTTCAATAGGATAGCATGGCACACTCTGTAGTCTGTATACGCGAAGGTTCCGGAATTTAGCCACTAAATGTACGGCAAGGTTTTACATATACAGAGTACACCCATTCCAATTTTGCATCTATAGTTGTATGTATATACATTAATTTAAGTACAACCGCGTTAATTTAAGAATTGCGTGGAAAATATGGTCCAAAAATGGCACCAGAGCACCGAATCGTTTTACGGTTTTATATGGTAAAACACATAATAAAGCGTACATAGCGTTCCGGTTTACTGGGCATGTCGTACATGTCGGAAGTGGGGTGGATCACTTCCGAATCACTGCACTGCTTTGCAAGACTCGTAATAACCATAATTAAATACGAGTAACAGTTACGATTAGAACAATGCATTTAGCAGGTAGTGTACAGATACATTACTAAGCGAGCACTGCATTTACCTCAATGCCTATTACGTATAAAGTGAATACCGGGTTTAACTTTTAAGTATATCTACAGAATATATAAATGCCATATGCATAGGGTGTCTTCCGTTATGTTGAAAATTACTAAACCACGGGTTAAGAGACTAACACCGCTTGATCGACTTGCAAACGTAACCGTCGACATCAATCTGCAGCACGATGGTACTCACCGCGCCAACGGTACCAGTTCATACTGACAGCGGACGAGTCAGTCTCCACAGTCGATATTCCATACTGCGTCGGAACGCGGCCTTGTTCGCCCTTGTCTGTCGTGTCACAAGATGGAGAGAATCATAACAACTGGGTGGAAGATCTCTTTGAGTCTGAATCGGACAGAAGGGACGTCGGAGTTTACGCGCATCTTGTCCGGCGCAGATCCACGAGATCCTCACAATCAGTGTCCACGATATTTCTACCCGAAGTTGTGAGAAATGAAGGACAATTTGCGTGCTAACTGATGTTAAATTCTAGGTGGCCGCTGTTTGGCCGCCTAGCTCCTCCAGACGGAGCTGCCGTCTGCCTGACCTATTTCTGCTTCCGCTCTGCGTGTTTGCACACGGGCGCTATCTAGCTCCGTAGCGTCTCACTATTTTAAATTCTTAACTGCCTGTGTCATTCCAGTTTTGTCAGTCGAGCGCTCTTGCAGTAATCGTTGATGTTTACCACCCACCCACCTTACAAGGTGGCACTGACTGTACTCTGTTCTAATCAATTAAAGAGAGAAGGCAGTCGGGCATAGATGGGACGTCGGAAACTCGAGGCGGTGAGGTCCGCCTGCGCTGTCCTCGATTTCGCACTGGTCCCGATACACCGACCTGCTCGCTCTCAGATACCGCAACATCGCGCCTGTTTCCGGATTACCAGTAAAGATATTCTCTAGCGGCATACCGAATTTAACAATAATTTGCCGCTAGCACTCCGCTGCTGCCGGCATGTTTGGTTTTCGTACTGCCAGTTGTCTAATTGTGTACGCAGTGCGAGTACGGTAATTCTTTTCCGGACGTCGGAAATGCGCTGCATACTCGATTGCCATTAAAAATCAGTCAAAACAGGTGATGGCTGTCAATAAAAGGTTAACAGCAAGTAGCAACAATCGGAGTCCGCTGCTTTTCCAACAAATAGATCGTATCGACATCTCTACCAGACACCGTAAAAAATAGGATTAACTGTGAGATTGTAGCAGAAAGCTTGCATCACAAGTACTGCAAAGTGTTAACAGTGTAAAGTGTACACAACGCGGTGTATTATTACTGTATAGTATACGCTGTATACTATGCCACGACACGACATAAATTGAGTTCACGGCCACGAACCTCGCACCCCAATGGGCAGTCCAACTGGCTGGTTAAATGAACAGTGTAACGAAAGCGCGCAGTCATCACAGTTAACAATTGCCATCTGCGGCAGAGCATGGCATCAAATCAGTAATTAACTGCATAATGCTGCCTTTAATTAATACTGCCGTGTCATCCAGAGTGATAATAATATTAATAGTAATTTCCTATTTTCATTTGTGTCAACTCTTTCGAGATGCCCTTTCCATCCACACTTTTGACATTTCATATGTTTGTACCAGCATTCGTCAGCGTGTCTGTCTCTATAATTACGTGGAAACGGACATTCTAACCCATGTTGGCAGGCCTGCCTTTTCCAGTTCCACTGCTGATGGATTTGTCCCTCTTAATGGCAGATACATTTGATAATTTTGATTCCTTGGTAACCGTCTTTGTCCATTCTCATCCGGCCTCGAAACTGAGAGGTCCATCAAACACCGCTTCAAAGGTCAGTAGATCTCTGGAGTTGAGCCATCGGTCCTGTCTAGCTCCTCCCGTGACTGCCCCGATGAACATTTCGTCCTGGATCATCGAAGGGATTTCGCCGATCGCGGTCTTATCCCGTTAACGGTTGACAAATTCCACGAGTTCTTCGTCTTGTGCATGTAGCATGTGGAAGAATTCGTACCGTTTTGCGTGCGTGAAGGCCACTTTAAGACAGATGATGTCGCGCAACTAGGTGCACGGTCCGAATTTAGAAAAGGGCAGTTTAGAAAAGGGCAAATCACCCATACTGTGCACCGGGCTCGATAACCGGCTTAAAAAAATTTGTATATCCGTACTTAAACCGTCCGAAATATGAGAAAACTCGAAGTATCTTCAAAAACTGATTAGACTGTTAAACAATGGCCAAATTTAATACGAATACTCCTGGTTTGTCCCATACGTCCATCTGGTCTCGTGACACACATCGGGGACTCAGGATCCCCGGTTAGTATACAGTACAAACCAAAAGGGGAAGCTGAATCTCCGACATGTTGTCCTTCAGTAGCGCGTTATGTCCGAACGCGCGTTCAGCAGCTTTTTTGCTACTGACACAACAAGTGCAGTAATCCGATACGCTGTATAATACACGAAACTCGGCGCACCGGTGCTGCCAAACTGTGCAGAGTTTTGGTTCCCTACGTGGTTGTGGTAAGTGGTAACTGATTTCTACTACTGAGAGAAATACTAGCGGCACCGCAGACAGCCGGTCGGAGCTAGAGCGAGCAAATGCACGGCGCATAAATATCAACTGATCAACAAAATGCATTCAACTGATCTTTGTGCCCAACTGCAAGAAAAGACTCGTTTAACTTTATAGTGAGTACGGTCGGGAGGAGTGTGTATCGTACCAGCCGGCATCAGAAAACGCTGTCAGTTCCCACAATGTTTTGCGATGGCCCGTTCATTTTGATTTTATCGTTATAACAGTTTCTGCGGATCCTGGCACACGTGAAGCTTTATACTATACCATACGTACGACTGTCGACTGGGAAATGTTTGCGTACCAATAACTATTACTACCGACAGACGTTGACGACCTTTGAGCTGGTAACCACCCTGGCTGCACTGGGATTTCGTCGGCAAAAAAGTATATAATTATAAATTGTTAACGGTCACTGCCATCAGTGCCATGAGCCACCGCTTTTATCATTTTCAAAAAAAGAACATTATGTATTTTCTGGAAATATAAATATTTTTCTGTCCCCGGGACGTTGGTTGAATGTCACACGGTGGAGAGCATCATAATAGGTAAATGGAAGACCTCTGTGGTCTGTTTCGGACAGTACTGAAGACGGAGTTCACGCGCATCTTGTCCGGAGCAGATCCACAGAGAACCTCGGTGCCAAGATGTACCTGTTCAAGAGTTTCGAGAAACAGCAATAATTTGCCAGTTCACACTGCCAGTTTTCAAGCTTTGTACTCAGTGTACTGTACTCGTACAGTAATTCTTTTGCGGACGTCGGAAATGCGTTGCATACTTGATTGCAGTTAAAGATTAGTCAAAACTGGTGATGGCTGTCGATAAAAGGTTAACTGCAACAATCGGATTCCGCTGCTACTTCGCCAGAGAGATCGTATCGATATTTCTTCTAGACAAGAATGAAGAACCATAGCTACAGAAGGCCGGAATACTATACCGGTCAA